GTCCGCCACACTCGGACCACTCCCCATCCTCTGTCACTTCCGCGATCTCACGATGTCTTACTCCCTGCTTCTCAAACACGCTCTCCGACACGGATAGCTCGAGCTTTCTGGCCAAGTTGACCCCAAATTCACTGTGAAAGGAGCCACAAACGCTATGACAGACCACAATGCAAGGTCCCTTTCTCAACCCAACGGCACTACACAGCCCTGCGTGGGAAGCTCCATCTCGCGGTCCTCCAACAGCTACGGTACTCATGAGACTGGCGAATCCAGCACCGCCGCCGCCTTCCACGATGCCTCGGTCGATAGCACAAAACTCGGCCGATCACCATCTTACAGCCCAAAGGTAAAAAGCCCAGAGCTGCAATCTGTTGAGTATGGAGAACAGGACCACAGTCATGAAGTAAATCAACGGCGTCGATCGCATAAGCCGCGGCCGAGCAGTGGATTTCTTCTATCAAATAATTTCCTTAACGAGAGCTCCAAGTCGGGCCTTCAGCACCGAGGAGATGGCCGTAGGAAATCTCGTATCCCTGTGGATAATCGCAGAGGGAAAAGTCCGTTGAGATCTTCCGAGGAATCCGACCTATTAGTGCCCTCCACTCCAAATGTTGACCTGGGGAGTCAAGAAAGCGCCAATCCGCACCTTGCACAAACATCAAATGGCAGACACAACCATCATGATGACAGGCCTCGCAGTCAAACCGCCAGCAGGCAGGCATCGAGGATCCCATCTTTACGACCAAATTCGGCACCACTTGATGTCGATTCTACGCAAATTGTCTCCATGGCTCTTAACCTGAGTGAATCAAGACGGTTAGTCTCAAGGAGGAATATCTCGAGCCCTATCCCGCCACGGCTAGCGCAACTCCCCGACAGCACTGCCGGAGGTAGTCTTAAGCAACACCTACAGCAGCAGAGGCGGACCTCACGTACTGTCTCTCCTCGAGCAGATAGGAGCATGACACCGAGGATTGTATCAACCCCACGGATCAACAGTCCTTTACACCCCACCTTTGATCATGAAAGCAGCTACACGTACCATTTTTCGTCTTCAACACTTAATCGCGCGCAAAAAGCCAAGGAGTATCTAGAACTCATGGCCCAATTCAGAAGACTTCTCCTATTTGTTCCTCCATTAAAGCAGGAACCACGTTCCAGGCCTTCGACATCAGGCGTGCCGCTTTCTCCTATCTCCACAGGTTCGCCCCTAGATAGTCATGCTAGTTCGCAGAATCGACCGTTGGGTCGTCCCTACAATCCACTCCAATATATTCGAAATCGGAAAATCAGAACTCGCGAACGAAAAGCTATAGATGGAGAAGCACAAGGATTTCGAGATGTCCCCAGAGTCACAGATTGGATTGACGAAGTAGCGACTTATACTGCAGCTTCACTCCTCACCGAATCACCAAAATTGCCGCCATTTTCTGGAGCTGATGAATGCTTAGAATCGCAGCCACCAGCGTCGAATCTTCCAAGGCCAGTCTCGGTGTTAAACAAATCGAAGAGACCCAGATTCGACTGGAGCATTGATCCAGCCGATATGCTTGCGGACGTATATTGGCTTGAACAAGGCAACAACAAATATCTTATCGAAGATCGGCATTATACGAAAATATTTACCCCCAAGACAGAGGCACACCAGCCGGTATCCCAGGCAAGCGAATACTCCAAGACTGCGCTTTCTACGCCTGCGTCTAAAGAAATGGGCGATAGCAATGGGAATGACTTATTTGAGCATGACTCCTCTCTCTCAACAAAAGCGGATGGTGAAACAGCAGTAACAAGCACAAGAGACCGTGCCCGCCAAAAGCTTCAGGATCTAAGAGGGATGCACCATAAGCATAGTAATTCCGTTCAGTCTCATCACGACTTCCTCAGATTTAGAAGAGGTTCATCGCCTGATACTTCAGGCAGTGAAAGCGACCGTCGCAGAAGAGGTCGCAACGGTACCATCAGTGCCAGTGGCAAGGATTTGCTAGAAAAGCAAATGAATGAAATGCTTGCAAGAGAGACACAAGACCAACAAAAGGAACTATTTGCTAAAGAAGCCGATATTGGCTATTTTAAGCCATTGCCTACAGGATTAGCAACCCCTGACAAAAATTCTCAATTTCCTAATCGAGGACATAGTCGCAGAGACTCGCGGATCGAAGCTGCAGAGCATCTTGACAAAGCCCTTCCAGCCCGACTTAGTCAAAGCTCACCTATACATTCTGGGCGTCCAAGCTTGGAGGTACCTAATCAAAACTACCGATCATCTATCGACCTCGACTCGTCCCGTCCAGTCTCACCGGATGCAAGGACCCGGCGACACCAGAGTGGTTTCATTCCGACCATTGGAATGGATCTTTCCCCAACCGCTAGTCGTCCCAGCTCGCCAGCTCGGAATCCTTTTTCGAAAGTTAAAAATATGTTTCGGGATCGCAGCCGAGAGCGTGATGATCATACCAACGAGGCTAATGATAAAGTCCTAAGTCCGATTGACCCGATAGGAACGCCCAGTATATCCGGGGTCACTGAAGACGTAATCCAACAATCAGAGCGTCGAAGATCCAAGAGCCCCGCGCAAGAGATCACCCAAAGGGCAACGCATGAAAGTCATCGACCGCATCGAAGTATGGGAAGCTTAAAGCTTAGATCTGATGAACAGCCAGGCCTTCGGACTATATTTAAAGGAGGCGCAAAACTAGACGGCATGATCCGCGGTGGTGTTTCTAAAGTAACCGATTTCATTTGGAAAAAAGAATCGGACGCATCTTCTATCACATCTAGTGATAATTCCGACATAGAAGAAGGCAGAGGTAGGCTGAGAGACTCAGCTATGTTCTCACGGAGAAGCTCTGTGCGCCAGGATGAGGACCAACGCACAGCTAAGAATTATCTGGATATTATGCCAAACTTCAAGTCAGCAGCGGACTCTGTGGATAAGCCCTCTTCACATGAGATAGAAACATCCTCCGGTCAGATTCTTTCGCTACCTCCTAGCAGGTCACCGCGCTTTGAGCAGCTCAAACCGCCTCGTATCGATGTTCGTAAAGCATCGCCTGCATCGTCTGAAAACGAACAAAACATATCTCGGCATTTTGTCGATTCTGATATATCTGAACCCGATTCGCGCTCTCGCGACTCGGGCCGCCTTACAGACTGGCCAAGGAGGACGTCGAAGGAACTTCACAACATCCTATCCATGACTTCCGACGATCCTGCTAAGCCCCGCGTACAAGGTACAACATATGGATCTGAACATCGGCAATGGTTCATTCAGGATCGCAACTCTCTGTCTCAACATGCTCTTATTTCCAGACGAGAGATTGCGCGTCTTCGTACCTTAATACTCTGCTCCGGTATTAAAGCCATGGAAATTTCCCGCCGCGCAAATGAGCCTCACCCTCTCTTTGCGCTCGATAACAAAGCAACAGGCTTGCCGTGGACAGACATCAACCACTTTGCGCTCGACGAGCAGATAAGTCTCAGCGTACCTCAAACGGAGCTTTTCCCAACAACAGCTCGAGTTCTTTCGTCCAGCATTCAGCGCTCTGTCAAGACATTTGAGAAATCCGCATCTGAGTTTTCGACGGAGACGGCACCAGCTCTCCAGAAAAGACTAGATAAGATCCACGACCGTGTTGCAATGGACCTTATGGATATGACGCGCCGTGCTGTTGACGAAGCTGATGACGTCAGTCATGACATTGTGGATTCTCAGCGTCTCAAGGTCAAGAGCGTCGTCGATACCGTAGATAAGATGCTCAGGCGGCGGCGTCGTCGTTTCCGTTGGGTGCGTAGGGCGGGCTGGCTGGCTGTCGAATGGGTTCTCGTCGGATTCATGTGGTATGTCTGGTTTGTGGTTATGATCGCGCGGGTCCTTCTCGGTGTAGGCCGCGGCGCTGTCTCTGTCATTCGATGGCTGCTATGGTTTTGATCGTGCAGCTTTGTAGGTTGCTGTTTGTGTCAATTTGTGCCTTTCACTTTTGTATCAGAAAGCCATTGCTTTGGATAAGAGTGAGACATTGCTTTTCAGATACCCCGATTTGCGTTTCTTAGTTTATTTGGTCTTCTTGACTACCACCTTTTAATCAAGCACAGCTCTTCTTTGTCGCTATATATATACTCTTGTGTTTTCTCGTACTTGGTCTTACATTGGCATGGAGTATTCATGGTGTTTGGACTGAGAACTGTATTCGGTTTGCTTAGCCCAACCTGATTGATATCCCGAGTTGTATCATGACGCGGCTCTTATATGTATAAACTTGGAAGTCTCCAGTTCTGCGAAAGTGTATGCGACATATCTAAGAACGTAGTTCGAAAACATCATGCTTCAGCAAAGTTGTTATACAATGAGATATCCGACCGAATATAATTTCATTATTTGTATGGTAACAAGTCGATCTATCGTTGAAATACAAGAACGACTCAATATTTTTGAACGGTTACCTATTTTCGTGAGCCGCTTCAACACTGTTGATGGCGGTAGCAAAAGTGAGGACATCGGTACTTCTGATCGTAGCACCTGTCTCTACGCCAAGAAGACCGGTCGAGTATACAGCCGTAGTCTCCCTCTATCTTCGTCGCTAGCTTCTGTTCCCCTTCCCTTACTTAACTTGCAACCAAGCCACAGATTAATCAGTTGCTTCAGAATTTTGCACCAATCATCAATAGTCCCATGACTAAATTCAGGCGTTCGCTTTGCTTGCGCCCGAATGAGTAACAGACACTACGCCGTCCAATTCCTATACGGGTTACTTGATATGCCAGACGACACGCATAATAGTAGGGCCTAAGAGCTAAAGTAATAAATCTCGGAAAGGCAAAAAAAAAAAAAATTGAAAGGAGGGGCGTGATAAGAAGACACAGAAGAGTAACAGCTAAGGCAGACTAACGTTATCTGCTCATAATATTTCTCTACATCCTCATGCAACATAATCCACCAAGATGATACTCGTCTTATTGATAATAAGGACAAAAATGGATTTTTAGAAATTTCCAAAAATGCGCTCTCGATCGGGGAATCGAACCCCGGCCACCTGCGGCTTGCTTCTATTGACAAGCAGGTATCCTAACCACTAGACCAATCGAGATAGAGTTATCCACTGTGGACTGGCTGAGGCCAGCCGATTGGTGATTTGAGGGGACAGTCCTTTATTTGGCATTATATTACCAATATTTGCGGAAAGCATTGTAGTTATAGTATGACAACTTTAAGAAAATACCGAATATTTATTATATTCATATGATTATTCTTAGTTGCAGTAGATATGATCGAATAGAAGCTGGTTAATAGAAACCAATCGCTAGGGTTTTGCAGCAGAACTGGCCACAGCTCGAAGATGAAAATATAGGTCTCTTATAAGCTCTAATATACCTAAAGTTATTACGTGAATACAGGTTATTTGCCTTTTTTTAAGCATGCTTTTTGGAGCGCAGGGCAGAGTTCAGCGGATGACAAAAACCTGTGAGAGCCGGTAGTACTGATGAGGATAACTATCAATTTGGATTGTAGCTCATCACATGATGATCCAGCTTTGGCTCTTTTGAGGTTACCCAAGCCAGTGATTGCGAAAGGCTTACAGAGTAATTGTATCTAATTCACGGGAGGCCTGCTTCTTCTAGGTTCGGGCAGTTCTAACTATTTCATTCCAGTGCCTCCTTTTTAGGGGAAAACGCACAGCTTCAATAGAGCAGGTGTGTTCAAGGTGAAACCGCCGCAACGTGGCTAGATATTTCGCAAAAGGTTTAGGCAATGAAACCTAGTGAAAATGTTTCGGAAAAGCTAAGAGAACTTTCAAAATCCTGAAATCCCCCATGGGCGGTGCATATGGCGCAAGATCTCTTCCCCTAGAGTACCTAGAACTAACATGCAGCTAAATTGTATGTACACTTGAAGATGTGAAGCCGATCACCACGAAAAATCTATCATAATTTATAAGATTAGCTACATTTATGAGAGATATAATTCGTAGTATCAGATATGATTCAAGCAATACGATAACCAGTGGCGAAGTTAACGATAACAATAATGCATTCCTGCAGGTGACCCAAGATTACTAGTACGGCTTTTGCGCAGTCTTCAAACTTAGAGGATTCTGCCCCAGAGCACGTTCTACAATTTCGTATGTAATTTACACGATTCCGAAAAATAGGTAATGTACATTAAATATGTCACTAGGTGCTAAAGTCTTAGATGCCTTGAAAGGTAAAGCTGAAGGAAAGAGAGCTAGGAACTGTGCAGGTGTCACGGAATATATACCGTTAGTGCCAACCGTGCATTAACGGCGTCGTTTTTGCGACAGTAGGCAAAACCCAAGACAAAATGTTAGGATCCTACTTCTGGCAGAACGGTTGGAACAGCTTGAGGTGTCCCGGATACAGGGTCGACGTCTAGGCACTAACTTGACGATATTTTCTAGACCAGAGCTCGAAGGCACGAATATTTCGAGTTAACACAACATAGAGATCTCAGCGTGGGCTTCATTCCAAAATGTGACTACGGCTATTGCACATAATTAGTTTCTGGCTTAAGCAATCTCAATCAGGACGTCAGTTCTTGAAACTTAAGTCCGAGGTACCTTGCGTACCAATCTACGACTCATTTTATTTTAAAGCATAATAGGCTGTAGCTCTCTCTTTACGATAGTCTCAAAGGGTATTTCTCGCTGGACCTAACGATACCACTCGTAGCTATCTCCTCATCTATAAATGTATTTAAAGTCTACAATACGATAGATAAAGTCTGTAAATGGCTGGTAATAGTCTCCGCAAAAGTAATTCTTGCACTTCGCTGACTGTTGTCAGACTTGATCCTACACTGCTAATAACATGTAGCCGGTATATAAGCGATAGACTAATCTACAGTCGTGTCTCTGGAAAGAGAGATGTTGGTAATTGATTCTAGAGTTTCTGGTCGTTCCCTTTTTCGCTACTGCATAGGTTCAATTAATGCTGCAACTTGTGGCTTTGGTAGAGTTAGGTTACAAAACCGTTTCATCATCACTTACGGCAACATAAGTTAAATCAATCATATTAACGTGTGCACCCTCGATGCGTTAAGGTTATTACCGATAAAGACAGCTCATAGTGCTATCTGCTTGATATTAATTGTCCTGGTCTCTTCTCTAATGTCGTCAGATGCTCTATTGCACGGCTGGGGTGGCGACGGCTCGCCAACCACCGCCTAGTGGCTCCGCGGCTAGGATTAGCAAGAAGCGCAGGCCCTCCTCACTCAGAGATAGTAACACATGTGGCAAAGTGCGAGGACGAAGTGGGAGAGAAGATGAGCGCGGAATGGGGCTTGAATGAGACGGCCGAACAACGGATTCAAGAATGCGGACGGATTAGTCACTTGGGCGGAGCTGGAAAGGTAGTCACCATTCGTAACATCAGGGTAGTGGCAACGCGAGCCACAAGACAAACACGTTCTCTACAAGAAATGCACCATCGATTTAGTTCATTTGAACTTCTGCCGCAACTGAGACAGCTGGCCGCCAATGTTTCTGGTTTGCTAATTTTGGCTGCTGTGGCGAACTCGCTGCTGAGGGTCATGTCTCTCGATAACCAGAGCGCTTAATCTCAGCTAGCCTCTCTGGATTACCAAGCTTTCCCGTAAATCGGCAATGCAGAGGCTTTGGTAGAGATGATATTTGTTGGTATATCGTCAACTAGGCAGCTAGCAGCGAATAAACCACTGGACTTTCCATATCCCTCTTCTCTAATGGTCTGGAACGGGTCGTTGCTTGATATTGTAGCCATATATTCACAGATGTAACATGATACAAAGTTCAATCAACGCAAATAAGCCAACTTTCAGACAAGTCGGTTGGTCTTTACGACTAGACCGATCGAGATATGTTGACGGTGCTGTTGCATCTTAGTCTATGCGAGTACACGAAACAGCCTAAACGAGATCAGTTCGCTATATATAATTCATCATCACATCTTACTCTCTCTGAACTCCCATAGCTTGGCAATGAATTCGATGTCGCTATTGCTATCATGTTTTCATTTGAAGCTTAGTGAAGCCTAGATACTTGCCGTGAGTGTTTGGGAACGGGAGTGACGCTAGCGAAAAGTAGAATGAGCTATGTTGGAATTACAAACTTATACTATCATATCTATTTCTACCGGTAGTCTAAAGATACAGCCAGTAAGTAGCTTTAGGGTCTGTGCCTATACAGAAGCGCCCAATCTCAATGATGAAGCACCTGGTCATCAGGCACAAAGTATTACATGCCCGAATCAGGCGCACCCGATAAGTAGAAGGTACACAACAGCAGAGGCTATTCGATCCTCTTCTTGCCTTCTTCAGCATTGAGATATCTTGCTGTGCTGAGCCCACGCTCATGTCTTGCAACAAAAGAGCCGATCACTTTGTCTTTTCTAATCTTTCCAATCGTCTCCTGGTAGCCCTCTGTGGCCCACGGCCGAGGATTCAGCTTTGGCCAGTTAACCTAAGGCCGGTATTAGCATTCTCATATCTAGTAAGTTGCATCTGTGTATTAGGGGTAGTGGGTGGCTAGATACTTACGAATAGCATGCCATTCTGCATGATAAAGTTCAGACACCAACCGGCCACTACCGTCCAAAAGAGGATGAATAGGCGCATAGGCAGAACAGCGGAATCCGGGAGGCGTTTGGAGAATAAGCCCACGAAGACAAAGAATATACTGAATGCGAGAATATAAGGTATGCTTTGGATAAGAATTGGTCGGCGGTCAGCGAAGATGAGTGTTGAGCCGATGTTTGACGTGGTGGGCTCGTAAGCACCGAGAAACAGGTCATAGGCGTCTTGTCTAGGCCCGTCTCTAAAATTGTTCAGATAGTATCGAGTAACGGAGATTTTCCCATCCTGAAAAGTGCCCTGCTTGGTGCGCTTTCCCAAGCGTGTAAGGTCCGTTTTCATAGCACCAGTACCGGCATACGCTTTAGATACCGTGTCTGCATTATCTGCCCATAAATTGCGGAAGATAAATTCGAACCCTGGATCCGCCGAAGCAAAAGTCTCACCTCGCTGCAGCAGACCCAAATCGACGAAGATGCGATCTAGAGTCCACCTTGCAAGCATACTCTGCACAACATTTGTGCGGTCTAGTGAATCCATGCAGTTCGTCCGTACAACGCTAGTCTGGAAATTCCTCGCCTCTAGCCCACCGTTCGCAGGCATATCTACGCCTCGAAAATATTGTTGTGCTATCAAGGCGTCGTGTAACTTGTCGACTAGCATCATTGCCCGATGCATTTGAAGCCCCTTGGTCTCGTGATGGAAGTCAAAGTAAATGTAGTGCAGACGGTCGAATTCTTGCTTGACGGTGTTGGGCTCAATGACATGGAATTTCTCGTCGCTGACGAGGTCAGTGTTAATCACCTCCGTTTTTGAGGTCAGGAGCATTTCCACCATCTGTTCATAGGCCTCCTTAATCCGCTTCTCACGACCTGTCTGGTTGACTAGGTTAACAAGGTAATTGTCGCCATATATGCGGATCTGCTCATTGAAATGCTTCTTGGCAGCAGGGAATGCTGTTTCAATTCCGCGAAGTTGAATCTTAGGCGTGTACTTGAGCGAGTTGATCTCGGCCCAGTATACGGGTACACTTCCTCGAGTTTGAACGTAAGACATGATCTGCATCTCGCGCCCACCAGAAGCTCCAAACTTGCCGCTCTGCATATCGGCACTTCCAGCATATCCACCCAAACCACCGCCCGTGTCATTCAGGACCACAACTTGCTCAGTCTCATTGTAGTTGGCGGCATGTCCTTCTTCATCAAGCCCTCTGGTGAAATACCTGGTTCCAGCTCGGTATCTTGACTTGCGAGTAATCAGAACAATGGTCAGCGGAGTGCCCTTGAACTTAGTAGGCCGTATCTCAAGTGTGCCCCATATCAACGGCAAGATATATGGATCAGCGCTTGGCTGCGGACCTTGTTGTGATCGGCTTCCCATCTTTCGAAAATCGATCAGGTCGGTTTGAACGAATCTGTTCCAGAAGAAGCGATCATCGGCGCGCATCCAAAGAGGGGTAGAATTGTCGACTGAAGCCTGCCTCTGGAAGCTGTTGGTAAGATCGAGCGAATAGGAGAAATACAT